GCTGCAAGGAAAGCAAGGGTCTTGCAAGGTCTTTTCTGAGCACCAGAAAGCTCCTCAGAGCCGAGGGAGTCTCTGTATAATGGATGCAGAAAGGGGCAGCAGTTTGTGCTAAACTCCTTGGCTAAGGAGCTGAGAGGGTTAAACTTAACACCAACCAGCTTGTCCTGAAGCACAAGGGCTGATCRGGATGGTCATGCATGTACATGCCTGGTGGGTCACCTTGCTTAAAAGAGAACATTAAAAACTCCTCAAAACATCTTGTTTGGCCTCAAGTCACGAGGGAGAATGGAGCCTGTATTACCTGTCCAGTTGGCTCCCATCAGCACCTCTTAGCAGCGATATAGATGTAAGTACTTCAGTGCAAGCGTATCCATCCGACAGGCTGTGGGGATAAAAACAGGGAGGCTTTGCATTCCCAAAGGCTGGATCTGAAGCAACTCTTCAGCTTGCATCGTTCAGCCTGTGCTGCAAAGCAGCTCCCTCCGGTCAGGAAGGGCAGCCAAGGCGCTGCACATGCAGGGCAGAGCGAGCAGGAGGCTTCAGTGGCTCCCCCCAACCTGTGAAAACTGCTSTCAAATATTTATGCCCAAACCCTGGCAATACACGTGGCTGGAGACGAGGGCTCTAAAAATAAACCAGCGATGGGAAAAGGAGACCCAGGCTTCCTTCAGAGGCAATTGGAAAGGGAATTTAAGTAATGTAATTGCCTCCAAATATAGAACACAATTATGGGAAACAAGGGACACATTAAACAAGCAATCACTATGAGAAATCATGAGGCTGTCATGGCTCAGAGCTAGAAATGGCTCAGAGCTAGAAGTGTCTCAGAAGATGCAGCACTTGGCAGATTCCTGCGAATCTTGGGGCAATAAAACATCTTCCTGCTCAGGGGAGCAGTGTGGGGAGCAAACCCACGCTGCCCTCTGAGGGAAGGCAGGCAGCAGCAGCAGCGTGCAGYGCGGAGCAGCCGCCGCGCGCGCGGGGAGCAGCGGCCTCCAGCCCAGCGCGGGACGCCCGGGCGCTCCGGGGTGCCCGTGCGGTGCATGAAGCTGCACTACCAGGTGGGATTTCTCTAGGAACGGAGATTGYCAGCTCTCAGATATGCACACAGCACTGGAGAAGGGGCTGCCCTATTTCTCCCTCTTAAATGACGGATTTCCAAAGGAATCTTCTTTCYGGGTGACATCCCATGCTTGTCTTTCCCAGCAGTTTGGATACACTGCTCAWTCCTGTCCATCTTGCCATACTCCAAGAGCTGAGTTGGGAGACTCACCTCCATCCTTGGAAAGGTGATGGAGTAATTCCTCCCGGATGTCATCTTTAAGCGTGCGGAGGGCAAGAAAGTGATCAGCAGTTGCCAGCATGARTTCATCAAGGGAAAATCAAGCTTAACTAATCTGAGAGCCTTCTATGATGAAATGACTGGCTGAGTAAAAGAAGGGAGACCAACAGGTACCATCTACCTTGACATCAGCAAGACTTCTGATGCTGTCCCTCACAGCATCTGCATAGGCAAGGTCAGGAAATGTGAATTAGATGAGTGGACAGTGAGATGGATTGAGAACTGGCTGAACAGCCAAGCTGTGGTGATCAGTGCCACAGAGTCTAGGCCTGTAGCTAGAGATGTCCACCAGTGGTCAGTACCAGGTCCAATCTGTTCACATTATTTGGACGAAGGGACAGAGTGCACCCTCAACAAGGCTGCTGATATACAAGTGAGAGGAGTGGCTGCTACCCCAGAGGTGCTGTGCTGCCAGTGGACACACTGGGCAGAAAGRAACCTCATGAAGCTCAACAAAGGCAAGTGCAGGTCCTGCACCTGGGGAGGGATCACCCCATGCACTAGGACAGGCTGGAGGTGATCTGCTGGAGAGCAGCTCTGTGCAGAATGACCCAGGCATCCTGTTGGACAAGCTGACCATGAGCCRGCAATGTGCCCTTGTGGCCAAGGTCAATGGTCTCGTGGGGTGCATCGGGACAAGTGTTGCCAGTAGGCTGAGGGACATGATCCTCCTCCTCTGCTCAGCCCTGGTGAGGCCACACCTGGAGTGCTGTGCCCARTTCTGGGCTCTCCAGGACGTGAGGGACTGCTGGAGGTGATCAGAGGACTGGAGCATCTGTCCTATGAGGGGAGGCTGAGAGASCCTGAGACCTATTTAGCCTGGAGAAGACTGAGTGCATGCAATGATCTGAAGGGAGACCCCACAGCATGTGTGATAGAAGTTCAGGATGGCAGAAAGGCCAGCTTTGAGGTGACAGGCACTGTGGATGTGTCAGGGCAGGCAGCTCAGCTGAYCAGCCTGACCATCAACTTGCTGTGRCTTCCCATGTCACTATGTTCCCTACATGGTGTTGTGGAGTCAAGACTGGAGGGACGAACTTCAGCTTGGGGGCACAGAGAGAAAGAGGTGTCACATAGAGAAGCCACGGCCCTGATGAACTCTTCCTTGTGTTCCTGCTTTGGGGATGAAAGGCTCAGGGTTCAAAACCCCACCAACCCCTTCTGGGTCCCAGCTGTGGAAAGTGGAAGGGACCATGGACTTGCCTCTGGCTCTGTATGTTTCTGTAGGGTTGGCTTGGACAGCTCCTCACCTGCAGGAACCAATGTGTAGAAAGCCTCTCTTCCACTAAGCAAATTCAGCTGTGACTTTTGGGCACTTTTGATCAGGGACAATGGGGGCAGGTCAAGAGGTCTTTGGGACACCATAGTGTAAATTCAGGAATTCATAAATTCATAGTGTCTTTCCCTGAAATGAAGCCATGCTCAGTGGTTCCCTTCTGTGAGAGCTGCCCGGGGACAGAGGCTTGCAGCTGAGGAGCTGCAGGCATGGCTTGCTTGGCAGCCTGGAAACTACTGCTCAGGGCCACTAGGCATGCTGGAACGAACCCTGTGTGTCTTCACTGCTGCAAACAATCCTGAAATCAGGGTCAGCACATGAACCATGTGGCCAYGTGTTTGCAGCCTTTCTGGGCGCCACAGCAAGTTTTCACAAGTGGGGTGAAGGATGCGCTCCCTTGTCTGCAAGTGGAGCATCAATGAAATGTCCCCCCCAGGAGACAGGGGGTGACCTCTACTCAGCCCACCGCATCACTCAGTGCACCTCAGCTCCCAAGCCCTGCAGCAAAGAGCAAGGGACCATGCCAAGCAAAAAACATCCCCTGTGGGAAGTTTTCCTCCCTTCAGCAAGGTCSTAAGTGCCTGCAGGACTGCATGTAGTGTGCATGCCACAGCTCCCCCTTCGTGCCCAACTTGCCTATGAGATTAATGCTGGCCACAGTTTGTTATTTGTATTTTATTTATAATATAAAAAATGTTCAAGTGTTAAACAGTCAAGAGTTCTGACATTCAGACAATCCAGAGCAAACTTTGACAATCATCTTATGACAAATTAGCAGAGTTTTCTATCTGACCCCATCATGGGTGAGGAATAGGGGTTTTAGTTACTTTATTGCTAAAAGTTAAATGAAATACACTGTCAATTGTTGTATTATCTTCTCAGTCACAGCTTCACCATGCATCCAATCTACAGTATCTGAAATGCAAAGGACATGCAGAAGTAAAAATATAAAAAGAAAAAAGTCAGGCTACAATGTAAACAGGTTTGCTGCGGAAAACTGAGGTGAGAGGGCGCTTGCACGGGGGATGCTCTGCTACCCGGACACGCAGGACTGTCTCTTTGCGCCACAGACCCAAGGGCTGGGGCTGCTCTGAGTTCAGAAACACGACGTCCATCACCGACGGAGAGTTTTTACGGTACACAGGGACATGACAATAACAACTGTCTTTACAATATACAGCACAGTGACAGAGAAGAATCCACTCACTGGGTTCCCTCCTGCCCCATGCAGTGACTAAGGGGGCCAGAAGTTCTCCTGCCCAGTGCCGAGGGGCAGCAGTGCTTGGGGTGGAAGGACATCTGCGTCGCCAGCCCCACAGAGCCGCTGTCCTGGGGCCCTCCTCGAGACCCACGGCCCTGCGGCCCTCACCAGCACAGCACACACAGCACCGTGGGCCCCAGAGCCATGGCCATGAGGACAGCACAGCCCACAGGGCACCACGGCCCCTACGGCGATGCAGCCCATACGCTACCGCAACCCTCCTGCCACATGGAGAGCGTCTTGTGGGGAGGCGCTGCCGCCTCCTCCATCTAGCGATGTTGGCTTCGATGAACTGGATTCAACCATACACAGCCAGATGTAGCATTTCACAACATTCATTTAAATGTTTTATTTATTTGACCACAAACCTATGTCAAACTGAACCACCCCAGCTTCAGACTCAGGAGTGAAATGGCTGAAGGTTGAGAGCTATACTGTAAGGGCTGCTGCTACTGTATGATTTTAGTTTCTGCTCCTACCTGTGTTGCAAAAGAAACAATATTTCTGCATTCCAGTATGGCGCTGCTGTGTTTCTTTTTCTCCTGATATAAGCGTATATGCAAGTATATTACAGGACAAGACAGATCCCCATCAGACATGGTAACAGAAACGCTCCCACTCATGTCCTCAGTGTGTGCTTAAATGATACCGTAAAGAATAAGATCATTGAGAGCAAGGTACGGGGCAAAGTGGAGAGGCTGTTTTCTTTGAATGGAAAAGCGCCTTTATGACAGGTCATCTCCCCCMAAAAATCTATGATCTTAAAAATGCTACTGAAACAGAATCCTCAGCATGAATCCCAGCACTAGCATACAGCAAAAGGCACCACGATAGTTTTATTTTCTATTTTTAAGTAGTCAAAAATTGGCCCACTTTTTTTTTTTT